GCGGAGTTTAGAATTTATTCTGTAACCCATGGGGAGCCATTTGGGTTGTAAGCAGGGTAGTAATAAGATCAGATCTTTGGGGCAGAAAGATCACTATGGGAATAGTACAAGGGAACTTTGGAAGATGGAGAGAGCAGAGGCAGAGAAAAACCGGTCAGGAGGCATTTTGAGAGTACAGGTGAGAAGTGATGAGGGCTTGAACAAAGGCAATTTTATGGACAAAAGAATGAAAAAAAGGTAGAATTAGCAGAACCTATTGAAAGGTTGGATATGGGGAGGTGAGAGAGGAAGTAATATTGAATTCTTCCCAGGGTCCTGAATTGCATAGTGATTGCAGTAGACATTTATTTGTTTTCTACCCAGCTTCTGCTTTCCTAAAAGCACCTAGGTTGTCATGCAGGAATTGGCTTCCAGTCTCCCCTGTTTTGCAGCCCATGTGCTTTAGGGAAACTGACCCCATCCCAGCTTTCAAGGTGGGCCTTGAGTGACTTACACTAATTAGCTCATTCCATTGCTCTGGCTCTAGCTTTGGGTTCAGGAGTGAGCATGGGAACTAAACCTGTCAGTGAGCATGAATGTCAGAACTCTCTATTGGGACCGGATGATCTCCTTGTTTGGACAAGAATAAAGATGCTTGTAGACCTGACTTAATTGGCAAACGTCTTGTGACCCCCAGGGGAATGAGCCATAACTGGACATGACTATGTACAGAGCAAAGCAAAGATTAGATTCCTAGTGACAGTCTTGGGTGGCTGTTGCACTAACCAACCATGAAGTCTTGAACTCAAGTTTTGGAGTCTAGAATCCCTTGTCATTTAAGCTGGTTTGAGTTGGATTCTCCTGTTACTTGCCATATGAAGATACAGGTAATCAGGCAGATGGTGAAGCCATTAACCAGCAGATGCAAGGCAAAAGGAGGGACTGGTGTGAAAGGCAAGAAGTTTGGTTCTGAACTTCCATGATCCCACATCTTTGCCTGAAGTTGATCCTTGGGTCTGGGATGACCCCTCCTTGCATTCGTGGGCCTGCTGGAAAAGTCCTACTCACTCTTGAAGGCCCCATTCTGATGCCCCTTCCTCTGTAAAGACCTTGTAAACCCCTCTGCTGTCCAGGTCAGAAGTCCCCACTCTTCCTGAACTTCCACAACATTTTAGACATGGCTCATGTTACTGTTTCCTTCACTGGGCACCAATCTCCTCAACAGCCCAGAACACGTCACATTGTTCTACGCATTCACATCAGCAGCCCCAGGCTGTCTAATAGGTGTCTGAACATCTTTTTTTTTTTTTTGGCCACACCATGTAGCATGTGGGATCTTAGTTCCCTGACCAGGGACTGAACCCATGCCCCCTGCAGTGGAAGCATGGAGTCTTAATCCCTGGACCTCCAGGGAAGTCTAAGGCATCTGAATAACTTGATAAATAAACAACAGCTTGTTCTTCCCCCATATTCTCTTCAAACTAATGGATTTACTTGCCACTCCTCTTCTTTCGGACTGAGAAAAACTCTGGCTCTCAGAACATGGATTCAATTATATAATAAATTACCAGAAAAAGATAAAAATATAAGAATGGGAGGAAAGGGTATTTTTATGGAGCTGGGAACACAGAAAAAGAAAAGTTGGATTAAATGAGTTACCTCTGTTATACTGATGCGATATCTGCTCCTTTGCCAAGTTATGAGGGTGACACACAAAGTCTCTGAATATATAAGATGGATTTACAATTTCTGCTGAAGACTGTGGGAAGAATCTAAAATCGGCAGTACCCACACATAAGGTTGCATTATGCCCATCAGTTTATTTTGATCTCATTGAAGGCGTTTTGAAGCAGTGCTCAAGAAATAGCTCAACCAAAAGAACATTTAAATTATGTAAAAATGAACTCCAGTGATTTAAATCCATTAACCTTACATAATAACTTTTCAAACATAGTACTGTAATTTCAAAATTAAAAATTTTAAGAGTTTGAACTCATAAGAGATAAATTCTAACAATGTTTTCAGGGAAAAGTTGAAGAATAATCATTTATCATCTTCGAGTACATTTAGAAACTTGAATGGGGGGGCGGGCAAGTGTAGCCAAGCCTTTATCAATGATGACAGCAATGAATGACGACAGTTACTTAACAAATGTTTATTGAGTGCTTGCTACGTGCCAAGTATCATTTGGAACGCTAAGGATACAGCAGTGAAAAATGCGTATGAATACTGATGATACTGAGGATGTTTACTGAGCCCTTACTATAGGCCAGGCCCTGAGCTAAGCGCTCTGCGTAGACTGGTTCATTCATTCCACTTTCACCAAAACTCTTGAGCTACTATCATATAATTCCCATTTTACAGATGCAGAAAATAGGCTTCTTGGGACTTCCCTGGTGGCACACTGGTTAAGAATCCACCTGCCAATGCAGGGGACACGGGTTCAAGCCCTGGTCTGGGAAGATCCCACATGCCACGGAGCAACTAAGCCCGTGTGCCACAACTACTGAGCCTGCGCTCGAAAGCCCGTGAGCCACAACTACTGAGCCTGTGTGCCACAACTACTGAAGCCTGTGCGCCTAGAGCCGGTGCTCTGCAATAAGAGAAGCCACCGCAATGAGAAGTTCACGCACCGCAACGAAGAGTAGACCCCGCTCGCTGCAACTAGAGAAAGTCCACACGCAGCAACGAAGACCCAACGTAGCCAAAAACAAACTTAAAAAAAGAAAAGAAGCTTCCAATCAATAACTCACCCGAGCTCTCAGAGCCACTTGAAGTGTTGGAAGTTGGACTCTACCCAGGCCCGTCAGATCCCAGAAGTAACACAGCAATTGAGTATAAATGGCTGCTGGAAATGTTTCATAGGTAGGAAACTAAGCCATTTTAAATCTTGTCGACTCTTAAGCATTCCATTTTCACAGTTGGTATAAAAGTCAAATTCAATACTGTTGCACCAAACTTTAACAAATTTAACTGAGCAGGGTCCAGTCAATGAGCTTTCATCACGGCGTTATTATTGACTGGAGCTTATGGATGTAGAAAGTTAGATGTGACTGGAACCTGTACCTTGGCAAAGTATTTTTAATCACTTAAGTCCGGTGTTTTCAATGTTTCACTGCTACCCTTTGCTCCTGTTGTAATATCTGTACATCACTTGTACTATTATTTACTTAAAACTGATTCATTGTTTTTACTTCATGTTTTAAAGGAAAATAATATAATTACTATAAATAAAGAACCACAAATTCATTCAATAAATATTTATGAAGTGCCTACCATGCACTAAGCAGTGGGGATACAGCAGTGAAAGAGACACCAAAAAGAATCCCTGCCCTCACGGAGCTAATGTTCCAGTAGGGGTGATAATCAGCAAGATAAATAAGTAAGATACATAGGACATTAGAGAATAGTCAGGGCTGAGGGGGAAAGGGGAGGGCATACTTGGTGCCAGTGGGGGAGAGTTAAAACTGTAGATAGAAGGGCTAGGGAAGGTCTCATTGAGAAAGCTTCATTTACTCAAGGTGACTTTGGAGGAAACACTAAACAGGACCAGCCATGTGGAAATCCAATAGAAAGGCAATCTAGGGAGCAGGAACAGACAGTGCCAAGCCCTGAGGAATGAGTGTGCCCGGGGTTTTCAAGGAACAATAAGGAGGTCATAGGCAGAAGCAAGACTAAATAGGAAGCTACTGAAAAATCCAGGCAAGGGATGATGGTGGCCTGGACCAGAATGATGAGCAATGGTCAGATTCTGGAAATAGTATGAAGGCAGAGCCAACATTTGCTGATGGACCAATTAAGGGTGTAAGGGAAGAGGGATCAAGGAACACCCTAAAACTCCTGGCTGAGCAAGCAACTTGAAGGATGGTGTCCAATATATTTCTTTGTTTCTTTCCTTACCCCGCCCCCCTGTAGGTCTTCCCCTGCCCCCACCCCTGGATTTGGATTTCTGTCACTTGCATCACAGCCTCCCCACTCAATGGAAGAAATTTAGAAAGCACGGGTATTCAAAAAAATGCTGCTTGTAGTTTTGCTTTATCTAAAGTCTGTATATGCTACACAGTTCTACAATTCTGCAATCTTGAAATGATTACAGTGGGAAAATTATTCTATTTTTCAGGGATCCAGCAGATACCTTTCAGAAGACAGAAATTCCATATATTGTAAATATATTGAATATACTTTGAATATTATAAATATACTGAAATTCTGTTCAGTGTAATTCTGGTATGTAGATTGGTTGGCTGGGGACTAAGGGACACGAGCTTTCTTAAAAAAAAGAAGCATGGCTGGCTCTTTAGGCTATAAACAGATCTATACTTGATAAACTATGTGCCCCTTTTGTCAATGAATTCATGTAATTGTTTAGCATCATAAGCTCAAACTTTCACTCATTTCACTTTTTCTGGCTTATTCACTTATTAGTTCAAGGAGAAAACAGACTAAATAGAGAAAAAACATACAAGAAATGAATAATAGTTTCATGGATGAGCCAGGACGTTAAATAAGAAAACCAAGGTACTCTGATTTCATCTTAAACACTGGCCTGTTACCTTAGTATCAAAATAACTGTGGTATTTGAGTTTAGAGCCAATATTCTAGTTTCTGTACAAAAATAATGCCTTTCTTTGGCACTGACAGATCATTAAGCATCCATCTCAACAGTTTCAACATAAAAAATAACTTACTCTCTTTGTCAGCAAATAACCTGCATTGCCTTCAATTAGACAAATTAACTTATATTTCTAGCCTAAACTATATCCAGTACCCTACATCCATTCATCCTAGAAATCATAAGTTTTGGATATGAATTATGTTTATTTTTGTATTGGATTGTGTAGCAAACTGAGCATTTAAAATATGATAAAGAAAAGGACTCCCATGTAACTACCACAAATAGATAACCCTGGCGATCCAGTGCTTAGGACTCTGTGCTTTCACTACGAGGGTGAGGGTTCAATTTCTGGCCGGGGAACTAAGATCCCGCAAGTCGAGCATCGCAGGGGAAAAAAAAGATAAAGAAAAAGACTCTCATGTAACTACCACAAAATAGATAACTGAAAGTTCAAGGCTGGTTTCTCCACTGGGCTGCACACCTGCCTGTTCAGCGGCTCCTGGACTCCATGAGTGCCAAATTTAACATGTATTTTGCCTCAAACCGCCCGTATTCCCGTGCTGTGTACAGCAATTAGTGACACCTCCATCCACCTAGTCAACCAAGTTAAAAACCTGAGTCATCTCTGACCCTCTCTGTCCGTTCCTTCCTATATCCGACTGCTTGCCAGGTACTGCCCACGGAACAGCTTCCAGACCGACTTCCCTGCATCTAATCTCTCCCTTCTTCACCCCACTGCCAGAATTCTCTTCTTAAAGCTCAGATATATGTTACTACTTGCTCAAGAACCTTACACTTTTTCTCCCATTTCCTATGGGAATAGTCTAACTCCCTAGGATAGCACCCAAGGCTTTCCATAATGTGGCCCACTCCCCCACTGCTTCTGGTTTTGACGATGCCCAGGATTTAACTTGTATTGGTCACTGAGTGATCACACAGAGTGGTCAGTGCCACTGAAAGAAGTTTTATTGCTCCCAAGGGAAGGGGCACATCATGCCATGCAGGGCCACACAGGGAAGTACCAGGGTCAGTCAGGAGGCACAAGGAGCAAGGGGAGAATATGGCCCAGAACCTTTACTGTGGTTTCTGTGGGAAGAAATGGGTGAGGCAGAGTAGGCAAGTCTGAACAAACTTAGGAGTGGATAGTTTGAATAAGGTTGGTCTCTTAGTTGTCCAGTTCTTGGCCCTGGGGTGATTTAAGGCAGGGGAAATATTGGCTTGGTATGTGGGAGTTAGATAAAGGAAGTGGTTGGGATATGGGCTTTGGATCAGTTGCTTTGTACATGGCAGGCAGGTTCATAGGCAAGTTGTTTGTTACTCTAGGAATTAGCTCACCCTGGGAGGAACAGTTCCCTCGGGGCTGCAAGGCCCCAAGATGTCAAAGCATCATAAAATACACAACATAAAAAACATGGTTAACACACATTCCTTTCCTAGGAACCCTCTGCTCACAGCTCTAGTCGCCCCAGAAAATGTCCTTCTTTATGAAATAAGTGCTGTAGTGCCTCTCTCAACACTCTGCCACCACCCACGCCCCTGAGCCCCCAAGTCTGGTACCTGTAACATGACCCCTTCCCTGTCCCTGTGGCACTGACACAGGCACCCAATCTACAGAGTGGCTGGCCACCTATGACCAATGTGCCTGCCTCAAAGAGATGAACTGGGCCGATCAGATTCCCTCTTTTAAGGATTTAAAATAAAAGCCACAAAAGGAGATGGCCACTTGATGTTAAGGTGAACCGGGGGGCCCTGAAGTAGACTCAGGGCCTTTGCAAGCCACGTGTGCTGTGCTCCACCCTTCCTGCCACTCTACACCTCCTCCAAAATACTACAAATAGTCCATAATAACTATCTGGAGCTAGTGCTAGAGTTTTGTTTTGTTTTGAATGTTTCTTTCAAGTACCAAGATTAACAGATATTCACAGAGATTGACAAACTGTAGTAAACAGGTCAGAACGGATCAAGCCTGGGAGAGAGGGTGCAATGATCTTTTTTTAAGCCCCCAAACGTGTTGCAAAGTGTTTTAAATTTCATATAAACGTTTAAAGGACCACATAAAGACAATCCAGTGCAAATGCATCTTGCAGTTTCAAAGGCATTTCCAGCTGCTTTTTAAAGTTCTCACACTGGGCTACAGAGCTGCAAAAAATCTCCAGGCGGATCCACCTACTGCTCCCCCTCCCTTGGGTAGCGCTGAACCAAATCCGCAGACTTTGTCGATTGCTTCTGCCTGGGCAGATCCGCCTGGATCGACTGCTCTTGTCTGGCCCGTCCCCGGGCGCGGCAAAAGCGTTTGAATCCAGCCTGGTGGCCGCAGCGACATCCTCAACCCTCACAATCCTGAGCGGCCTCAGCCGCCTCCTCTTTCTTTTACATCCCTGACTCTCCCGAATCACAAGAGTGGAAACGGAGAAGCTCAAGCCGCCGCCATGTCCGAGGCTTATTTCCGGGTGGAGTCGGGTGCGCTGGGGCCTGAGGAGAACTTTCTTTCCTTGGACGACATCCTGATGTCCCACGAGAAGCTCCCGGTGCGCACAGAGATCCCTATGCCGCGCCTCGGCACTTTCTTCCTAGACCGGAGCGGAGGGTCCGAGGCTGACAACGCAATCCCTCAGGTAAGCGATCCGGCCCGGAAAGACTACAACTCGCGATAGGCCTTGCGGGCTTGGGGGCGCCGCGTCGCCGGGCGCGCTGCCTCTGGGATCTGTAGTTTTACGGGGAGGCAGGGCCGTGCGTTAAGGAGTCTTGTCCGCTGGTCCCCCGCCGACCTAGGCTTCAACACCCCTACGGAAAGTAAATTTATACTGCGTCGTCAGGCTCCCTGCAGCACGGATTTCATTTTTGAAACTATCCATATTCAGCAGTGTTTTTTCACCCCTACGTGTGTTGATGCTTAAGGATTGGCGCCTACGGAATACTTGAGGACCAGGGTTCTGATCACTTTTGCCTTAGAGCACAACAGTTTGGGGTTGTATAGAGTAGATGATGTCTGGGAACCGCAGATTGCTAGATTCATTCCTGCGTAATGAAGACGGTATCAGCAACCATTTCCTGAGGGCTTTAGTGTAGGCATGGATGGGGTGGGGGGAGTATACTTTTCCATCTATTACCCCTTTAGTCCTTCAACAACCCTACAGTTATGTGATGTTACATATAAGGAAATTGAAGCCCAGAAAGTTTGGGCCAGGGTCTCATAGTAAGTGATGAGCTGGGATTCGAACCTAGGACTGCAGGACTTCAAATTCGAGTTTGTCCCAGGAACATGGCTTGTAATGGTTATTTTTGATTTCCTATTTAACCTAAGTTTTGTTTAGAAGGGTGCTTTTGTTTGGTCTCTTTTGAGTTAATTTTTTATCAAAGTAAGGCATATGCAGAGTTTAAAAAGTTAAATGGTACCGAAAGATTTATAACAAAAAGTAGCAGGTTCTGCCTTGCTTCCCTCATGCCCCTTTCCATTTCCACAGGATCTGTCTACTTTTTTCACAGTTTCTTCAAAATTCACCTCCGTATTTCTAAATAATGTTCTTACATTTATCTTGATTTTTTTTTTTTTTTTGCGGTACGCGGGCCTCTCACCGCTGTGGCCTCTCCCGTTGCGGAGCACAGGCTCCGGACGCACAGGCTCAGCGGCCATGGCTCACGGGCCCAGCCGCTCCGCGGCATGTGGGATCCTCCCGGACATGGGCACGAACCCGTGTCCCCTGCATCGGCAGGCGGACCCCCAACCACTGCGCCACCAGGGAAGCCCCTTAAATTTATCTTAATTTTTTAAAAAAATTTAGACATTATTTATTGACTTTCCATTATAGTAGTTAAGGATTTAGTTCTCTTACACACTGATATACAGATGTATCGTCCATATTTTATTCATATTTCCTTCGTTTTTACTTAATGTCCTTTTTCTGTTCCAGGATCCCATCCAGGACACCACGTTGCATTTAGTAATCATGTGTCCTTAGGCTCCTCTTGGCTTTGACAGTTTATCAGACTTTCCTTGTTTTTAATGACCATGAATTTTGTGGAGTGCTGGCCAGGTATTTTGTTGAGAATGTTCCTCATTTGGGATTTGTCTGATGGTTTTCTTACGATTAGACTGTTTGGAGGAGGAAAACACAGAGGTAAAAGTGCCGTTTTTACCACATCGTATCAAGGGCACATGCCATCAGCATGACTTATGTTGATAGATACCTTGATCACTTGATCGAGGTGGGGTTTGTCAGGCTTCTTCTCTGTAAAGTTACTCTTTTTTTCCACCTTTTTTCTCTCTGGAAGGAAGTCATTATGTGCAGCCATACTTAAGGAGTGGTGAGTTGTGCTCCACTTCTTTGAGGCACAGTGTCTGCGTAAATTATTTGGGATTCTTCTGCATGGGAGATTTGTGTTGGAAGGTTTTTAGTGACATTTAATTTCATTCATAGACACAGGACTATCAGATTTTCTTTTCTTGTTTTACTCTTGGTACCTTGTTTTTTCCCCCTAGGAATTTGACTATTTCATCTAAATTTTCAAATAGAGTGTTATAATGTTCAAATATCCTTTTACTATCTTTTAAACATTTGTACAATTATAGCTGTGTCCTGATTTTTATTCTTTAAAAAAAAATAAATTTATTTATTTATTTTGGCTGTGTTGGGTTTTTGTTGCTGCGCGCCAGCTTTCTCTAGTTGTGGCGAGTGGAGGCTACTCTTTGTTGCGGTGCGTGGGCTTCTTATTGCGGTGGCTTCTCTTGTTGAGGAGCACAGGCTCTAGGTGCGCAGGCTTCAGTAGTTGTGGTGTGCTGGCTCAATAATTGTGGCACACAGACTTAGCTGCTTCGTGGCATGTGGGATCTTACCGGACCAGGACTCGATCCCATGTTCCCCTGCATTGGCAGGCAGATTCTTAACCACTGTGCCACCAGGGAAGTCCCCTGATTTTTATTCTTGATATGGAGAAATTATGATGTCTTTCTTAATTAGTCTTACTAGGAGTTTATCACTTGTGTTAGTCTTTTCAAAGAACTAAGTAATGGCTCTGTCAACTTTCTCATTTGTACTTTTATTTTTAGGTCATTAAATTCTTAGTTGGTTCTTTCCTTCTACTTTCTTCAGACTTGATTTTCTTTGTTCTCTTCCACCCAGTCACATTTTGAGATGGGTACCTAGGTCATTGATTTTTCAACTTTCCTTTTTACATTTTTAGCTGTGCATTTCCTCTAGCTTTAACTAGATTTCACAAGTTTTAATTTGATTTTCTGATTTCCGTTGTGAATTCCTCTTTGACTCATGGATTATTTGTAAGACTGGTGCTTAGGTTCAAACATTTGGAGATTTTACTATGTACACTTTTGGGTTTTGATTTCTGGCTTAGTTACACAGTGGCAGAGAACATAGTCTGAATGATTTCAGTTATTTGAAGGTTAACGCTTGCTTTAAACCCCAGCATAAGACCAATTTAACCCTTCTATATATGCTTGAAAAGCTCTATATTGTGAAGTAATGGTCTGCAATACGTAATTTATATCTGTAAATTAAGTCAAGTTTGTTATTTGTTTTGTTGAGATCGTCTATATTCTTACAGTTTTTTTGTGTTTGCTACTTCTCATTTATCTAAAGAGATATGTTAATGTCTCCCACAATGATTATAGGTTTGTCAGTTGCTCTTTTTAATTCTGTTAATTTAGATAGTATTTATATTCTTCTTGTGGGTTTAATGACCCTTTTATTATTGTCACATGTCCCTCTATCTCTAGTAATGCTTTCTTTTGATTACTGTTTGCATAACTTTTTTCCATCCTTCTATTTTCAACCTCTATATGTCTTTATATTTATATTTACGGTATGACTCTTTTAAGCGGCATATAGTTGGGTTTTTTTGTTTGGTCTGACAATTTTTTTATTGGTATATTTAATGTATTTACATTTATTTAATTATTGATTTATTTGTGTTTATTTTTACCTTCCTACTATTTTCTTTATGTTCCATCTGTTTTAGTTTCCTTTTTCTTTTTTGACTTCTTGTGTATTAATCAAATTTTTGTTATCCATTTTCCTTTTTATTATTTATTCTTCTGTTATTTTAGTGGCTACCTTAAATATTACACAATCATTTTTGACTACCAAAAATGTTATATGAATTACTACTTTCATCACTTCACAGTCAGTGTTAGAATCTAAGAACATTTTTTTTTTTTTTTTGCAGTACACGGGCCTCTCACTGTTGTGGCCTCTCCCGTTGCGGAGCACAGGCTCCGGACGCGCAGGCTCAGCGACCGTGGCTCACGGGCTTAGCCGCTCCGCGGCATGTGGGATCCTCCCAGACCAGGGCACGAACCCGTGTCCCTGTATTGGCAGGCAGACTCTCAACCACTGTGCCACCAGGGAATCCCTAATAACATTTTAACTCCATTTTCTCCCTCTTTTCTTTTATGTTATTGTTGTATTGTAATTTGACTCGTTTTAAATCCTATAAAACATTATTGTCATTTATTGTTATTTTTATATTTACACACTTATTTACTCTTTCCATTACTCTTTTTTTTTTTTCCTTCCTACATTTCCATATTTCTTGCTGGGGTCATTTTCATTCTCCCTTCTTGATTTCTTTACTCTGGGTCTTCTAGTGATAGATTCTCCATTTCTGTCTGTACAAGGGGTCCTGAAGACCAACGTTGGGTTCGATGATTCACTAAGAGGACCCACAGGACTCATCAGATAGTCATGCTTGTGTTTAAATTTTAATACAGTAAAAGGATAAGAGCAAAATCAGCAAAGGGAAAGGGTGCATGAGATGAAGTTTGCAGGAAACTAGACACAAGTTTCCAAGAGTCCTGTCCCAGTGGAGTCATGTAGGACACACTTAATCCAATAATGAACTGTGACAACATGTGTGAAATATTGTCTACCAGGGAAGCTTATTAGAGACTCAGTACCCAAGTTTTTACTGGGGGAAGTTTACATAGGCACTCTCTACCTAGCGCATACCAAGATTCCAGACTCCAAGAAGGAAAGCAGGGGTTCAGCATAAGCCACATTGTTTGTACAAACAGTGTAGGTGCGGGCTTCCCTAGTGGCGCAGTGGCTGAGAGTCCACCTGCCATTGCAGGGGACACGGGTTCGTGCCCCGGTCCGGGAAGATCCCACGTGCCGCGGAGCGGCTGGGCCCATGAGCCATGGCCGCTGAGCCTGTGCGTCCAGAGCCTGTGCTCCTCAACGGGAGAGGCCACAACAGTGAGAGGCCCTCGTACTGCAAAAACAAACAAAAAACAAACGAAAAACAAAAGCAGTGTAGGCATATTGAGGCACTCTTATCAGTCCCAGGAATGGTGGGAACTCTCCTGAAACCCAAATTCCCAGATACCAACCAAGGTCATCCTTACAGGCCTTTCTAAGGAGAGCAGTCTCAGGCTGCTGTGTTAACTTTTTAGTGCACACTTTCTGTCTGGAAATGCCTTTATTTCACCTTTGCTTTTAAAGGATATTTTCACTCGGTATAGAATTTTAGTAAGCAGTTATTTTCTGCCAGCACTTTGTAGTCGGCTTTAACTCTTATTGTTTCTTCTTTAAAGGCAATATATTCCTCACCTCCACTAATAGCTGCTTTTGTCTCTGTCTTTGTTTTTCAGCAATTTGAGTAAGATGTGCCTCGTTGAAGTCTTATTAATATTTATTCTTCTTGGTATTCATAATGTTCCTTGAATCTGTGATTTTATATTCCTTTTGATTTTGGAAAATTCGTGGCCATTATCTCCAGATATTTCTTTTGCCTCAATCTATCCCTCCTCCCCTTCTGGGATTCAAATTACATGTATGTTAGACTTTTTTTTTTTTTTTTTTTAACCATATTCCATATGCCTCTTAGGCTCTTTTCTGTATTTTCTCTCCATGTTTTAGTCTGGTTATTTTCTACTGATCTTTTTTCCAATTGATGATCCTCACTTCGTCTATGTTATATCTGGTAAAACTGTTAAATTTGACTTAATCTAGTGAGTTCTTCAGGTCAATGATTGCATTTTTCATCTCTGGAATTTCCATTTGATTTTTTATTTATTTTAAAGTCAGAGCCTAATTACTGTTGATATTTAGTTCCAAATATTGGACTTTACTTTTCTCTCTTCTTTCTTGGATCTTGACCCCTCATGTCCTGGCTGCTTGGGCAGCTTTGAACCAAATATTTTTATCCCCAGCCCTGTGAAGTTTACCAAAAGCTCTGCTCACCCACCCCTCAAAGCCACCCCCACCTTTAACAGCAATTCTCCTCTGTGAGAGTTTGTGCCTTTGTTGCCTCCTTAACCCAGTTACGCTTGCCTGTTTTTTTTTTTGGATGTTTCTCTTAACTTCTTGCATTCAAGATTATGAAACTTTGCTGTGGGCCCTGCCCTCCCTTCTCCTCCTCCTGTTCACCCTGGTGGTGTGTGGGTGAGGTGCGGGGGGGGGACCCACAAATATATATCAGCCCAATAGCCCTAAGTCTCCTCCTTTATTATTAGGAAACAAAACAACACCAACAAAAAGTGGCATCATGAGCGTGAACAACACTGTCAGCTGAGTTAGTTGAAGTTTTTTTTTTGTACTGTGTCCTCAAATTTAATGGAATAATGTGTCTTGTATATATAAAAAGAAAATCTCTTAAAAAAAGTCAGAGAAAGACAAATACTGTATGATTTTACTTATATGTGGAGTCTAAAAAACAACAGGTGAACAAACATAACAAAATGGAAACAGCCTCGCAGATACAGAGAACAAACCAGTAGATGGTTGTTAGAGGGGAGGGAGGGGCAGGAGGAGTGAAATAGGTGAAGGAGATTAAAAGGTACAAACTTAATTACAAAATAAATGAGGCACAGGGATAAAGTGTTTTTTTTTAAAAAAGTGGAGTCCATATGATCTTAATGGAGAACGTTTTTCAGATTCTCATTGGAATATTAAAATGCTAGCTAAATTTCTAGCTGTTTTATATAGACCTGATTGCTTCAATTTGTAGCTTCTGCAAATTTTTAACTGCCTGTTTTTAGGAGTATAAATGTTACTTTTTTGCAGACCTTTGAGGTAAAAACAGGCCCTTGCCTATGCTATTCTTATCTATGTTCATTTTAATGTTTCTGCAGCTTGCACTGCAGAAACTGCTTGCATCGTGGCCACCTCATCTATTTACTAATTCTGTTAAGGCTTTAAAAAATAGAGACATTTACCTTTTCTGTCATCTTTAAAGCTGCGTAGTGGGCTGGGGAGGGGCTGTAGCCTGAGCTCAGGCTGACCCTATTTTTCTTTATATTCCCCAGCACCTAGAGAGGTGCTTGGCACATAGTAGGTAGTCAGTCAGTGCATATGTGGAATAGATGTTGAATCTTCAAAGAAAGTAGAAATGTTTACTATATCTCTGAAGTATCTGCAATTGGACAGTTTTTATTTATGTTAGTTAGAAAACTTTCCCTTTGTGCCACATTTTTGTTCTCGACTTTGTTTTTGGTATATAAATCCTTTTTCTCTCTCCATTCCATCATGACATAAAACTTCAGCCCACACAGTTCATTTCTTCAAGTTACAGCTGTATCTTCTGTATTTGACAGTTATGCCCCTAAAGAGAACAGGTGGTATTGATATTCCCTCAGGCCATGTGCATTTCCTTTTTGTCACACACATTTCCTACTATGTTACTTGTTTTTAAAACCTACAATCCTGTGCGATACAGGGCTCAAAGCTTGAACTCCCCTTGTGGCTGGCAAAAGGACTTTTTGACAACAAGCGCCGGATCCTTTCTGTGGAACTTCCCAAAATCTACCAGGAGGGTTGGAGGACCGTGTTCAGTGCAGATGCCAACGTGGTGGACCTCCACAAAATGGGGCCACATTTCTACGGGTTCGGCTCCCAACTCCTGCATTTTGACAGTCCAGAGAACACAGACATCTCCCAGTCTCTCCTGCAGGCAAGTTATTGATGTGAAAACCTATGGCATTGCACATGTCTCAGGAGCCAGCCGTGGCAGCCACCAGATGTTACTCTTACCCGGGGAGTGTATGATTTATACAATCAGTTTCTTGTTATTCCGGGTCAGCCTACAATTAGACTGTGTTTGCTGATTATATATACATGTAAATATGGCTTGTCTGCCGCTCTTCATATTTGCTTGCTAAGAGTTGGGACCAACAGGAAGTCCTGGAAATAAGATACTTGATTACAGGTGGCAGAGGAGACGCAGACCTCCTTCTAAGTCCTAAACCAGATTCTTGCCTTTCGTGCCATTTAAATGTTCAGGGATTAAAATGTATCTGATTTCTGTCTCTCACTTCTTCAGACGTTTGTTGGACGTTTCCGCCGCATCATGGACTCCTCCCAGAATGCTTACAACGAAGACACTTCGGCGCTGGTAGCCAGGCTAGATGAGATGGAGAGAGGCTTGTTTCAAACAGGGCAGAAAGGACTGAATGACTTTCAGAATTGGGAGAAGGGGCAGGCCTCTCAGATCACAGCTTCCAACCTGGTTCAGAACTACACGAAGAGAAAATTCACTGACATGGAAGACTGAAGGCCAGAAGAACACAGAATTGCTCCCTGTAGACTTATCCCTCTGTGTGTCCTTGATAGGAGCCTAGTTGACCTTGTATAGGGCCAGAATCATGTCCCATCTTGTGACTTATTCCCAGCAGCACTGTCGGGAGTGCTACCATCTGGTGGGGAAACAACATGCTGGAGGATGTCCCTGGCCCTATAAGTCTTCCAGGACTATCCCACCTGCTGACCCACAGACCAGACCTACTTAGCCCAGGAACCCACAGCCAAAGAGAAACCAAAGTCCTTCATAAATAAGGATCATGAATGCATATATCGCAATAGAGTTGGAACTGCGATTCCTCGTGCCTGGGAGTTTGGACAGCCTTAGATATCCAGTTTCACTAGCTCCAAAGGACGGGTACAAATGGGCCTTCCTAACCTGTTCACAAAATGTCCTCTTGAGCTTAATTGCCTCATCTTCCTCATGGTTGCACAAAGGACAGTACTCCCAGGATGCTGGCTCTACTTGTAAATATCTCCTGCCACCTGCCTATGGGGAGTCACCCAGTTTCAAAAAACAGTTGCCAAGAATAAGGAAGGAGGGCTTCCCTGGTGGCACAGTGGTTGAGAGTCCGCCTGCCGATGCAGGGGACACGGGTTCATGCCCTGGTCTGGGAAGATCGCACATGCCGCGGAGCGGCTAGGCCTGTGAGCCATGGCCGCTGAGCCTGCGCGTCCGGAGCCTGTGCTCCGCAGCGGGAGAGGCCACAACAGTGAGAGGCCCGCATACCGCAAAAAAAAAAAAAAGAATAAGGAAGGAAAATGGAAAGCCCCGTGAGTGGCAAGGCTTTTACTGAAGAGAAGACATTGCTTTCCTCTTCTGTGAGGAGGCCTTCATGAACTGGACTTCACGCCTATGCGGGAAATGGTTAAACTGAGCTTGTTTTTGCCTCTAGATCTTTAGAGCCCCCCCACAGTTATTCCATGCTCTCCCTAGGAAAGCTGTCAGGGAGTTGTTTGGAATCGCAAAGTAGTTGTTAAAGGGTGTTAACCAGCTCTTATTACATTGAAATCAGGGCTTCAGGGTTGCTGGTTATGAAGAGCCCTGTTTGAGAAGCTTAGCATGGCAGATGTGAGTGGGCAAGAGACCTCGGTCATGGTTTTTTACTCTTCAGTAAGTTTTGCAATATTATTATATAACAGATTCCTGACCAGTTACTGAGACTCTGTTTAAGCAACCACGAAACTCTTTCCCTGGAGATCAAGGAGGAAACCTCAGGCAGAGTAGGAAACAGCATCCCTGGGACCCACTGGACTTTTTGAAGGGCATTTATCACCACACCATGGGTCCCCTTCCAACTTCCCACAACTAGTGAAAATTGCCTTTGTCACTGGAAATTACAGTGGGATTTGGGTCTCCAGATTGTACAGACGTCTTGATGCAAACTTAGAATGTCAGAAATATTTTTTAAATGCCTGTTTTAAGATGGAGCTGATGTTTTTATAATTTGATTTTGGTGCTAAATAAATGATCCACTTTGCACATGAATACATTCTGTACATGTACTATTTCTGTAACTCGAGTACTACAGATGATCAGGCAAAGCTAACAGAAAATTTTGTCTTTGATAGTATTTGACAATAATGCCCCAATAAATCCATGTTTTAGCAACTGCTCTTTTGTTTGCACAATACTCATAAATATGGGGGACATTCTCCATAGGGATGAGCTGTGTCCTTGAAAAGAGGGACTTCCATTGCTGTCACAGCATTTACATATAGTCAGGGGCCCAGAGATAATTCATAGTCAGTGAGAAAAACATATTTTTTAATTTTTGGATTCACAGACAGCTTTGTTTTTAAAGTCAATCCTAAGGCTGCTGCCGGTTTTTTTTCTTATTAAAAAAAATTTGGCTCAGAGGCACATACCAAGAATATGTGGGTACGCACGTGTAGAATTTATTCCATTTTAAATTTTGAACAAATTATATTACAGGGAGCTTCCGAAGCCCATCTCCAATTACAGATTTGCCTTCGAGGCTGTCAGTTACTAACCCTCTCCCCAGCAACCTTCCCCCAAATCAGCCTCTTGGTCCCTTCAAAGAAGTGAATTTTTCAAAATAAGTCAACAAATTGGCTCAGCTACCATATCACTCTTAAAAACAAGGGGGAATGTGTGCTCTTTCCCCTTAAAGGCTCTGTTCCCAGGTAACTCTGGTCTTAATTACATACAAAAGACCTCACTGTCTTCAGGCTTTTTCCCTGTGGTACAAGTTGGGCTGCCGAGAGGAAGGGCCAAGGCTTTGCTTTCCCAGGTCATTTCCTCCCGCTCTCTTGACCTCTGCGTTTTGGATGGCTCCATGGTCAGTCCTCGGATCTCTTCTAGCCATTCTGACTCCCTCCAGTGTCAAGTTTTAAATACCACCATCTATACGTTGATGACTCCCAAATTCCATCTCCAGCCAGACCTCCCTTCAACTCCAGACTTGCAGCCAACCACCTGCTTGACATTCCACTTCAACATCTGACCCCACAGGGCTGAAACTGAGGCCCTAATCTTACTCTCACAGTCTCCTCCTATCATCTTTCTCATCTCTGTTTTTGACAACTACATCCTTCCCTACTGCTCAGGACAGAAACGTAGGAGTCCTCCTTGGCCGTCTTTCTCATATCTTTTGGGTCAACCTTCAAGTCATTGGCAGAACCTGCCTGCCTCTTCCCCACCTCCATTCCTGTCCGGGATGGTTGAGGTCACCTCCCAACTCCTTCCCTGCATTCATTCACCCTTCCCTGCCTTCAGACTCTTCTCACCAGCGTGGCCACAGTGGTCTTGTTCAAAAATAAATCAGATCTTATTACTTCTCTGCTTAAAACCCTCCCTTGTCAGAAAAAGGCCCCTCTGCCATACCAGCACCGTTTGTTAAAAAGTCCATCCTTACCCCAGTGATTTGGTATTGAATTTTCTTACTGCTTCCACAGCAGAAGTAATTTGTTCCTTATTTTAAGCAAAAATTTCACCTTCTGCCTAAGAGATTTCTGAACATTTTATAGAGCTTGTTAATCTCTGAGCACCACTGGACCTGAGAAGTTTCTGGACTACTGTGTCTGAGGTAGTGAAATTGGAATGCAGAAATATTGAGCAGCTCACTCAAGTTCATACAGAAGTCAAGTCCTGTTCTGAGTCTTTCTGTTCCACCAGCCTTCAAGAAATTCCAGGAGAGCTTTTCATCTTTACACCATCTGGGACAATGGTGTTTAAGTGAAAATATAATATTTTACACTGATCTTGGCAAAAGAAAATAATTGCAGAGGCCGTACGTACATTTCTGAAAGTAGGTATCTTTGTGTTCAAGAGAAAAATCTATACTTGAAGTAACTTGTGGCACAAAATATAGGATAGATGCTTAAACTATAAGAATTACTCCAAGAACCTTAATTTCAACAGTCCTTATCTAATATAGTTAAAATGAAAATCTTAATATTGATTACACATAGAAAGTTATTTATTTATTTTTACATCTTTATTGGAGTATAATTGCTTTACAATGGTGTGTTAGTTTCTGCTTTATAACAAAGTGAATCAGTTATACATATACGTATCTCCTCCTGCATCTCCCTCCCTCCCACCCTCCCTATCCCACCCCTCCAGGTGGTCACAAAGCACCAAGCTGATCTCCCTGTGCTATGCGGCTGCTTCCCACTAGCTATCTATTTTACGTTTGGTAGCGTATATATGTCCATGCCACTCTCTCGCCTCGTCACAGCTTACCCTTCCCCCTCCCCATATCCTCAAGTCTATTCTCTAGTAGGTCTGTGTCTTTATTTCTGTCTTACCATAGAAACAATTTTTAAAAGACAACTAAATGCCCTGAACCTAAAGAAAAGGGCCTAAAATTTGGAATTCTCTTGCTAACTCTTGATAGCGGCATTTTGAATGAACAATAAATCTCCCGTCATTAATGAGTAGTGAATAAAATATAGTGAATCAAGGGCAAGTCTGAGAAAATACAAAGTTACCCTCTTCCAAGAGCAAATAATTAACACATGTGACAGGCCCAGCGTGCTTTTGTTTGAGATCATTTTGTTGATTTTTCCAGGCTTCTGCCTTTCTGCCTCGCTAATCAAAGGAGACACAGTACAATCAGACACAGTCAGACGCGGCTTGCTTTCCAAGCAGCCTTCCTCTAGGACACGAGACAAGCATTCTCCTTCCTGAGTGTGCTCTCCTGTTGCCTGCGTTGTGGTCTAAAGCAGCAGTCCCCAACCTTTTTGGCACCAGGGACCGGTTTCACGGAAGACCATTTTTCCACAGACGGGGTGGGGGTAGGGTTGCAGGCGGTAATGCGAGCGATGGGTAGCAGCTGTAAATACAGATGAAGCTTCGCTTTCTTGCCCGCCGCTCACCTCCTGCTGTGCGGCCCGCTTCCTAACAGGACCAGTACCGGTCTGACGAGGGGTTGCGGACCCCTGGTCAAAAGCGAGGAGGCCACGCCCAGAAGCCAGAGGCCTCCTATCTGTCAGAGATCAGAGTGAAGTCCACTCAAGGGGCATCATTTCGTTAAACTTTTTTATTTGGAAATAATTTCAGATTTATAGAATAGTTGTACAGATAGTACAGAGTTCCCCTATATCCTTCACCCAGCTTTCCCTAATGTCTTATGTAATCATGGTACGTTTATCAAGTATTACTAACTAAGCCACAGGCTTTAGTCAGATTTCACCAGATTTTCCACTAATGTCCTTTTATTGTTCCAGAATCCAAAGTTCAATCCAAAGTTCTATGTTGCATTTAGGGAGCAATAATTTTTTAGAGCAATTTGGGGAAGCAAAACAGCATTAGATTCTTCCCTATATTCATTTCAGAAGGTAGGCTTATTGGATAGGCGTCGTTGTATTGGGCTGCATAACTGGGGCCAACTAGGGGCCTAGGAGGGCTTGCACAGGAGCAAGCTGCTGGTGAGCTAGTTAAGAAGGGACAGAGTATTTGCTTTTCACCTGAAATTTTCACTTTTTCCCCAGTACTTGCATCTGATGGGAAAAGGCCTCTTTCATTGTACTTAAAACTTCTCCTTTCTCTCCCTGAGGGCAGTAACTTGATATTCTCGCCTTTCACTTCTGGCACATACTAGCTAATTTTCTCTGTATCTAAATGAGTTTAAAATAAGCAGGGATTTCTACCCTAACATTATTAACAAATGTCAGCTCAGCTCTGAAAATAGTGCTTGGGAACTGCTACTGTTTCAGAATCCATAAAGGGAGCACAAAGAACCAGCTAATCTTTGCAAACATCTCCCACCTATGGCCAATTTAAAAAAAAGAAAAAAGCCCAGAGGTTTGTATCTTTATGACATTCTCTGCTCCTGTATCACCCTTGAGAGAGAAGTTTCTTGGATTCTCACATGATTTGCGTGGCTCCCTTTTGGCAACTAAAATTCTTCCCTGAAGACGGTTTCTTTGGATGCAGGAAAGCAGATGAGGAGCTAAAAAGTATAGATTCAGGGGCAATGAATAGATTCAGGTGTGGTGAGGAGGCATTTTGATGCTTGAAGAAAGTCAGAAACCAGTGTTAAAAGCCGCCATTGGCGGGGTCACTGGAGGGAGAGTTGACAAAGGGTGTTCCCGGAGAGTGGCTTTATCTTAATGGGAACAAGAGGCCTTGGCGCTTGGCTATCTCTTAGGTTCAAGAGGAAAAC